CTAATTTATTTAATATCGGAGAAATCCGATGCCATCGAGAGTTGATTATGGCCTGGGTCAGTTAATTAATGTCTAAATAATAATTTAGAAAACATTTCAGGCCTAAAAAAAGACCTGCAATAGGCAGATTTAGCTCTTGCACAATGTTTGTTTAATCTAAACAAAGAGTTTTAAAAATCCAAAATGAGGAAAATTCAAAATGGCGGTCAGAATTTCCATAACATGAATGACTGTTTTATATAGCTTATAATGTCTCTTTTATAAGGTTTTCAGAGTCACTGAACATGAATAAAAACTCAAAAATAATGCTGAAAATGATGTTAATGATACTGCTAAAAATGACACATCCTATGCGACCCCCCCCCCCCCACACACACACACACCCACCCCATAAACAATACAATGGGGCATAATATGGAATTGATTATTTTGGATCTCACAGATCACAAGACATTTCACCAAAATAGTGAGTCATTTTAATTTCATCTACTATGCCTTTGCACCAGTTTAAGCCGTATTGAGAATTATTTATGATATATCCAGTTGTTAAGAATTTAAGATCTCTTATTCGTTCAGAAATGGTAATGTGGTCCGTTTTTACATTAACGCCTCTATGCCCGGCAACTTTTGTCGTATAGTCTAGTAGGCCTGCAACCAAAAATTTTAGCTTGCTTAGAAACACAGTTCCGCTACAAGGTCCTCCCTATTAAACAAACTATACATATTTGGTAAGCTTATATCACCAGGAACACAAATCCAATTAAAATATTTTAAGGCCAGATGAAAATTGTGATAATTGTCAAGTAAATGTTATATTTATACTAACAATTGTGAAGTTGACATAAAATTACACATATGATACCTAGGATAGGACAGGCTTATCTTTGCTCCGTGAGGTGAACGACAGGGTTCTCTACAACCAGACTCGAAATTTCTTTTGAAAAAACTGACTGTAATTTAAATGGTACTTTCTAGAGTATATCCTGGTGTTTTTAGCTTATGCATATATCTTAATAATTCATCAAAAACGACATAAATTCATAACTACGCGAGAACATTGACTAGTTTAGGGACCCCCGAAACTACCATACTCCTTTTGAGTGTCCATCCCTGAAAAGGGAGGCAAAAGATATGATGTTAAAACGATAATTCATATATTATTTTACAGTTATATATATAAAAAAAATGTCTCCTTTTTATCCAATGGACAATTTATTGTTAGTTCATGTAGAAAGATATGGTGCTTATAAACGTGTTGCAAATTTCCGTATTACATGGTAGACTTCAACGTATCATATACACAATAGGTATTTATTTTACAAGTATAAAAAATGTTTCCGTTTTATCGAATGAACAATTTATTGTTAATTCGCGTGGAAAGATATGATGTTAAACATGTTACAACTGGTATATTAGTCGAGTATTTTATATTTTACAGAAAGTTTACGTTTAATCGAAAATTCCAATAAACAATTTATTTTTAAGTTGAAGGGAGTGTCCTACAGGTGGTAGACCATATTAAATGCTGCTTGAATGTGTATTTTCATAAACTTTGTATGCATATAGATTATTATACTGAAGGTTCGTCTGGATAGAAAATAAGATTTCGTGTGAAACAGGTGTCCTAGAAAAAATGGGTTCACTAACATCAAATATCTGGTTCTACAAATTGTATTTGTCCCTTCTAAGCTAATACCTGTGCGGAACAAACCTTTCCGTTTCATCGAAAATTCCAGTAAATAATTCTATTTTAAATTCAGTGGCTACGAAAACCCTATACATGATATATCACAAGCCCTACCTTGCATGATACTATAATAATAATAATAATAATAATAAAAACTTTATTTAATGAGGCAACGTATTTAGTTTGCAAAAAAACTAATCTTCCATGGGTCCCTCCTAAGCTACAAAGACATATATACATGTAATATCAGGATAAATTTAAAATCATTAGAAATGCAATAGCATTTTAAAGTGGGAAGTTTGATAAGTCACTCCCAAACTTCAAAACATATACATTATACAAGTAGAAAATAGGAAGAACACTATAATTACACACAAAATAAAATAGAATGCAGTTGCAAGTTAAAAATAATAAGTATGTCATCAGTTGAATATTATGGTTCCTTCAGTGTGCAAAATAAATGACTTTTCAGTTTAATCTTAAAATTTTCAACATTTTTACACATCTTTATATCAAAAGGCAGATTGTTCCATAAAAGATATGCAGAATAATGAAAAGTACGTTTCATGGATTCCGTTTTGCAATTTTGAAGAAAAAAAGATTTACTGGTTTGTGAACGGAGCAAGATATCCGTTTTGGAAACAAGAGATTTTTCAATAAAATAGAAATTTAGATAAAGTGGAGTATTAAATGTAATAATTTTGAATGCTAAGACAATTTTATTGTAAAGAATCCTCTGTGTAAGGGTAAGCCAACCGAGTTTAGTAAATAAAGAGGTGGACGGAGTTTCAATCGATGCATCAAGAATAGTTCTTGTTGCCCTCTTTTGTAATTTTAAAAGAATGTCTAATCTACTTTTGGTAGCATTTCCCCAAATAATAGAGCAATAATCAAATATTGGTAGTATGTAGCTGTTATAAAACAAAATTCCTGTCTCGTAAGGTAAATGATCTTTTATCTTATTTAGGAGAAATATTTTTTATGCAAGTTTTTTAGACATATCTGCTATCTGTGCTTCCCAATTAAGGTCTTGGTCAATTTGAATTCCAAGTAATTTTGCGATAGTAACCGTCTCAATTTTCTCACCATGGAGTGATAAAGTTAGGTTTTTCTGATTTCTTTTGTGTTTTGATGAAATCAGCATTGATTTTGTTTTCGAAGGATTGATTACCATCCCATTGTTTTCACACCATTTAGCAACCAAATAGAGATAATTTTGGAGATTATTGGCGATGGATTAAATATCTTTGTGTGAACAATGCAGGGTACTGTCATCAGCAAACAAATCTATCTGACTTGATTCAATATTGAGTGGGAAATCATTTATAAAAATAAGGAATAGGAGAGGACCCACGATCGACCCTTGTGGAATCCCGCATTTGACTGTAGTAATTGAGGAGGTAATTGATCCTAAACATACTTTTTGCTTCCGTGAGTCAAGATATGATTCAATCGAAATTTGTGAATTATTATCAAATCGATAAAGATGTAGTTTTTCAATAATAAGCTTATGATCAATGAGATCAAATGCTTTGCTAAAATCAAGATACACTATACCACTCATCGCACCATTATCGATAGCATCAAGCCAATTATCTGTCATTCGGATCGGTGCAGTAGCACATGAATGATTTGATCTAAATCCAGATTGGTAAGCATAAAGAACATTGAAGGTTTCCAAATAAGTTTGAATTTGAGTGCTCAAGTGCCTTTCGAATATCTTTGAAATTGTGGGGAGAATTGAGATTGGCCTATAATTGTTCGGATCATCTGTAGCTCCCTTGCGGTCATTTTGGACATCGGACAGAACCCCAACCGAAAATGGCGTCACAGAAGTGACATAATCTCAAAATTGTCTTTAGGGACAAATTTTGACACAGAAACAACCCGTCCCCAAATATCGTTTCGATTGTGACACACTAGCTAAAAGTTCACTAAGTTTGTGCCCTGCCTCGCCGACGTTCAACATTTTAAATTTGACAGTCTACTTACGACTTTTGTTGAGTTTGCGGCCACCGCAGCTGTATAGGGAGGACCACTGGGCGTATTTATTTATGCTAATTGAATAACTTAAGAAGACCACACACATAATTTGGCTAAAATTACTCTGAACAGGATTTGGTAGTAAACTTATAAAATAAATCATGAAAACCTGGGAAAATAAAAATGCCAAAAGGTTGCTTTTTCCAGAATAATCTGTTGATTTGGAAAATATATGATTCATTCAACAACAAGTATCATATAGCACCAGAAGAAGCATTTTCTTGTGAACATTGTAAGCCACATTCCATATCCATAGGTCGATCTTTTCAGGAGTTATGAAGGTTTCCCCGATGCGCTCAATTTCAATGAAATAACGGCGGCCATCTTTAAAGATGGCCGCCAAAATGCAATTTAGCAAAGTAACCCGGAAATCCATCAACCAAATTTCAACACTTCAGCCACCAGGCTAACTGAAAATCATGGTTGAATGTATTCATCAAATTGGTAATGATGTTCCAAAATCCCAGGTCTGTCACATGGACTATGTGTTGTAGGATATGTTTTTATTTGTTCATTACCCAATGGGACCCGAAACCATAGGGTAGCCTACACGACTCGTGTATTGACTATAAAATATTATTTGTGTCTTAAATATTGGATATTAGGATCCTATAGTTTCACGGCAAGATAAACAACATCAATATTGATTGAAATTGATCAATATTAAATTTTAATTCGTGTTTTTAATTTCGAATATTATGGACAATATTGAGTTAGAAAAACTTAGAGACTTAGCTCCTTTAAGCATACGTAGCTATACAGGGTGTGGTTCCCATTAGATGTGTTCCCTCGATGTTACCCCTTTTCAATATTTAGGACCAGTTCCCTATTTGATACCAGCTCAAGCCCCCCCCCCCCCTCCAACTTTCCTCCATGTCGACTATATACTCTGATTATTTCTCTACAACTCCTGATACCAAGGGGCTGAAAAACTTCCGATATACGTTTGTATGTATTTTATTGTTGTGTTATTTACTGGGGTCGCGGGTTCGATTCGCAACGAGACAATTCGGTCGTTAAAACTGAAGATTATTTACAAAATTTAAGATAAAAATGGGAAATTATGAAATGAAAATTGTAAATCAAAAAACAAGAAATAGTTCGTATTTCATTTCTCAATTTAAATAATTTATTTATTTAATTCTTTTTCCCTTTATTATTTCTGCGGAGTGTTAATTTCAGTCAGTCTATGTATACATTTATAGAGCGCTTTAGGTTATTAGATTATGAAATCGACTAGCTCAACATATTTATATCGATTGCCTTGAAACCTGGTACAGCTGTTACCTACATGTTATATTAGCCACGTGAACTGGTTAAAATCCTTCGTCTATTTGATCAATGAATCGACAAGCGTGTAGGAGTGTTACTATTGCTAATATTAGAGGCGAACGTCTCATAATTTAGGACCGTTCCACCGAATATCTAGCAAGTTATGGAGAGTAAAACGTTTTGGTAAGTGAACGTGTCGTTTGGTTGTTTCGTTTCTGTGAAGGAAAAAAAACCTATTATCTCTTTCAGACTTTACTGTGTGTTAGTTGACAGACCTATTGTAGTTCGGTTTATGTGTCTTTTGAAATGGGAAAAGGAAATCAGAATACGTCGAGTAATGGAGGGAATGATTCTGTAAAACAACATACATGGCAGGAAATTACACAACATGATAAACGTCATGATAAATGGATTGTTATTGATAATGAAGTTTATGACATCACAGAATGGTCCAAACGCCACCCTGGTGGAAGTAAAGTTATCAGCCATTATGCTGGACAAGATGCGACGGTATGTTTTATTATGTTTTTCGAGTTAATGCATGCTCAAATTTGTTGGTAGATGGGCCGTGAGAGAGAGAGAGAGAGATCGTGTGGGGGGGTGGGGACCAAGTAATCCGTAATCCCCCCCCCCCATTTTTCTTGGCATCAGTGGCCAGTATAGGTCTGATATTTCATTTAGACAGTGATCCCATAAGCGTTGGACCGAACCCACGACTTATATAAAAAGCCTTAAAACCCCAACCCCAACCGGGGGGGGGGGGCTGCTTCGAAACAGAAATTATCAATGAAATGAATAAGGTGCTAACTAAGGTAACAAATGTTTGGTTGCCATGGTGCTCTCTGTTTGTCAAGGCTTAATTTTTTTTAAAAAAAACATCATGCCTGTATGTACTGCTGTCTAATATTTTAATCTTTCATTTTTTTTTCCAGCAAGCCTTTCATGCATTCCATAGTAATATAGGTCTTACTAAGAAATATCTAAAGGCCATTCACAAAGGTGCTTTGCAAACCAGTAATATAAAAACAGCCAACATAGATGTCGACTTCCAGAATCTCAGGGAAACTGTTACAAAAATGGTAATTATATTTGTTTATATTTCGAATATTTACAAATTAGAAAAAAAGCTGAAGATAAAGGAGCCGCCATTGCTGTCCTGTTGTTAAATTATGTAGGCTAATAATATATTAAATGGGGTTTAATGTTCTTTTTCTGCACAATCAAACCTATATTATTATTCATGTAATAAGACACGAACACAAATGATATCAATAGCAGTACAGCAAATCCTTATTGCTGGTAGTAATTACACCACAATTGACATTTCTGGCTAATACATTTCTAATTAATATTTGAACGTACATGGCGATGTTAAATGTCATTGATCATATTGTTAACAGTCTTGGTGAATTACATTTTCAACACTAAGTATAGAACGGAAGACAGAACGGAAAGGTTGGCTATTTATAAAACTAGTTTTCCACATATCGTTTCATACAATGCAATCGAAGAATTAACTACCTCTTTGGTCACCGGACATATGTCTGGTTATCTGTTTTCTTCTTATTTTTCCACACAATTATTTTGCAGACATTTTATGAAATTGGATTGTTCTATAACACGATACAACAGGCCATGTTACTGGTTTATTTTGGGAATTGAACAAACTGGTTACTATTATCATATTTTAATGTAGACAACATCAGAAAAGGTGTTACTGTGCTGAGTATGGAAATGAAATGGGCTTTAACGTCCAACTTTTCTGTACCAACTGGGCTAATGAAGACGAGCATACGCCATACAGTGTGCTATATGGGGAATTTGCCCTGACAGTGGCGCTACGGCCTACTCCTTTTCGAATTCCAACTGTCAAGGGTTATTTTACGTGCACGCCAATGTGTACATGGGACCGGTTTTTCGTCCCATCGCAACGACTAGACACTGTCCTTGCCAGGCCATCCGTCCTGCACTATTGACAAGGGTACAATTTCTCGACCAACACCGAGAACGAAGCCGCGAGCTCCAGGTTAGCGAGCCAGCGTCTAACCTTCTGAGCCACTGAGTTTGATCTAAACAGTAACTCTTGCCTTACCTCCGAGCGACTTTCTTCACATTTTAAACCCACTGTTATCAGTGAGTAAGGCGCAGGTCGAGAGAGTTAAACCAGAGATTTTCCAGCGTGGTGTCGGATGGAGGATCCGACAAGGACACCGCCTAGTCGTTGGGCTAGGAGGAAAAACTGAGGTCCCGTTTACATGCTGGAGTGTACGTAAAGGAATCCATGACAGTTGGAATTCGATATAAGAGTAGGCCGTACTGGCAAAATTTACCTCAGCCAATCGTAATTATATATGTATATCTAGAATTTTTTTTAAACTAAAAAGAGCTGACCGCTCTTTCGCTAGTATCAAATGAATGCTGGCATGATCTGTCTTTTTTAATTTCAGGGAATGTTTGAACCAAGTTATACCTTTTATACGTTAAATTTACTCCATGTTGTTGTATTAGATGTTCTGGCTTATTTTGTTTTACGATATTTTGGTACTGGATGGCTGCCTTTACTTACATCACTTATATTTACAGTTATAGTTCAGGTCGGTTGAAATTCTCGTCACTTTATAACACAAATACACCGTGCAGGTCATTTCGTTGATCACAGAAAAGTCATAACTAATCGGAAAATAAATGTCCTTCAGTACAGTAAGTCTTGCGTTGACATTTTAATATGTATAACGTTCTACAGTTCTGCACCACTAAGTTGACAGTTGAAAAAGTAGGTCGTTGCACCGCTGCCCGAGCATTATTTCCCTCATAGCCCACTGTATAATAACATATATTTATTCATTATCCCGAATGGTGTACAAATGAAATGAGATGGCCGGGGTTTAATGTCCTACCGTTCTGCTCCGACTGGGCAAATTTAATTTCATTTCTTGATCTGTCAGTGCCCTACATTATGATCAGTTAAATGAAATTTGGATTTCTTCACATTATGATCTGTTGAGTGAGGTTTTTATTTTTTCACATTAGTAATAATATGATATTGTTTAAATTCAAATGTACATAATTAATTCCCGATACAAATGTAAACCGCATATTTAGCCGTCTGTCACTCCGTCTTGTCCATTCCGTAGATTTTTATTATTAAACGTAAAACACATGTTTTATGTTCGTAATGAAACACTATCTTGTGGGATTATTCTATGTTCTGTCCGGAATTTGATCCAGATTGAAAGGCAGCAAACTTGGCTCGGTGATTCTATAATTCTGTAGTTTTGAACTATAATTTCTGTCGGCATTATTAGTTTGACTAGATACTTTCCCGATGTCAACAATGTCTTGCATACCCGACGCGCGTGGACGTAGCTATAGATCGTAAGTTCGTCTGTCCAACCTCGTGGGTTTTAACGGGGTCCTCCGGTTTCTTGCGAAAGCTAAAGACACCCAAGGCCTTGTATTGAAATATAACTGAACCATATACTAGTCCCGAAATGGCCTAGTCTCTCTCTTGATTTGATATAAACAATATTCGTAGTTATTCGTATTCTACATTTGTCAAGTTTCTTAGTGACATGGAAGGTGCATAGACAGTGGCAATCTCCCATGCACGTCTCGCTGTATTATGGGGAAAGCACTCTGTTTGGGAGAATGTGGCAGTGGAGGACAAGAACATTTTCTAAACCAACCAGATTGGGAAATGACGGCGGCGCTACAGCCTACTCTTATTTTTAATTCCAACTGCCAAGTGTTCTTTTACTACCTATTATATCTCAACAATGTATTGTAAAAATTATATATTAATATATCCGTTTATAGGTGTTCTAATCATTATAGTACACACATCCAATTATTGTAGGTTCAGTTGGGTTGGTTAGCTCATGATTTTGGTCATACCTCTGTTTTTGGCACCAAATATAAAATTGATGAGTTTATGGAGAGAATCTGTATGGGTTTTATGAAGGTAAGAATAGTTTTCGCTAGCCACAAGGAGGAACAATAATCCTCTCACATAGAAATAAAGGTAAATGTCACAAAATGTTGTTCGTGTAATAAGTGGTATCAGATGGTCTAGAAAGAGTAAGCTTATCGCCCACAACTCTAGAAAGAGTAAGCTTATCGCCCACAACTGGAAAAAGGAGTGTAATGTAGAATTGTAGAATGGGGATTAAAAGTTTCTTACTGTTCGCCAAAGGCAAAAGGCAACACGCTCTGGGGCCTGTTTCACGAAATTTTAACTTTTAAGATAAAATCCAAATTTTAGTAATTTGATTGGATAATAGTAGTAGTCCATGTGACAGGCAAATATTCATTACCAATTTGGTGAATTGGTTTCACTATGATTTTCAGTTAGCCTTAGATCTAAAGTGTCCAAAATTGGTTTGGTTTCGAATCCCCGGTTGTACGTGACAAGGAGTAGGGTCGCCTGTCCAACCTCGTGGGTTTTCTCCCACTGCTAAAGACCCCTACGCGCAAGCGAATTATGTAAATAAAATTAAACCATAATATGTTAGTCCCGAAATGACCTAGTTTGTGTCGAGTGGACGTTAAACCCCATTTCTCTCTCTCTCTCTCCAAAATTGGTTGATGGACTTCCAGGTCACTTTGCCAAATGTCAGTTTGGCAATCATCTTTAAAAATGGCCACCGTTTTTTTATTTGAAATAGTGCGAGTCGATGAGGAATTCATAACTCCTCAACAGTTTCAACAACGGGTATGTAATATAGCTCAAAATAATCATAATAGAATTCTGCATCTGCTGGTATATGATATATGTTGTTTACTTTAATCAATACTATCAGATTTAAAATAAAAGATTAATCTAAAAAAAAGCAACATTTTCGCTTTTTTTTTCATGTCTGTTCATAAGTTTACTAACAAATCGTGTTCAGATCCATATAAGCTAAATTATCTATTTGGTCAACTAAAGTGATTTAATAGATATCAGAAACATTGATCATAAAAAATAATCTCTAATACGAGTGTCCTAAAATGGCCAATTTTCAGATAATAGTCATTTCATTGTTTGATATGACATGTACTATCCAATTTATTTAGATAAAGTGATAGCCATTCTTGCTACAATAGTTCGGAAATAGATAATGTAAAATGAATAATTTGACAATTTCATTCAAATTATGCTATTGCGAGCGAAGATATTAGCCTTTGAGGGTTTGACAAGATGTGTGCAATAATTTCAACCACTGTACTGTTTGTTCGAAGCTAAGTCTCGTTCCTCCAGTTTTAGATTAAATCAAAATATGGCTGAACCATTCGAATCTGTTTAATATATATCGGAAAATCCAATGCCATCGAGAGTTGATAATGTCTTGGATCAGTTAATTAATGTCTAATTAATAATTTAGAAATCATTTCAGGCCTAAATAAAGACCTGCATAGGCAGATTTAACTCTTGCATAATGTATGTTTAATCTAAACAAAAAGTTTGAAAAATCCAAGTTGGCGAAAATTCAAAATTTCCCCCGAATTTGCATAAAATGAATAATATTTTTAGAAAATCGTCAATAGCTTATACTATCTCTTATAACTTTAAATCATGGTTGAATTCATTCATCAAATTGGTAATGATGATCCAAAATCCGAGATATGTCACATGGACTATAGACTGATTTTAGTTCTTAGCCAATCAAAATTGAAGTATCTATTAAAATTTAGATTTTATCTTTAGTTAAGATTTCGAAAAAGAGGGCCCTGGCCTAATGGAACACCACCTATTTTGGGCAATCTGTACAAACAATATTTCTAAATTTTACATAATATGTTTATTCTGATGGATCACCAAATGAAGGCCTTTTTTATACGCCCACACACGCCTGATCTATATATCGGCCATCAATCCAATTGATTCCTTTTGGTTTACAATAAATATGTTCAATAACACACTGCCTAGTTACTTTGGTTACCAAATAAAGTTAATACCTTATGTGCGTTTAAATGGCCAGAAAGACTCTTCCAGAGTTATCTCTCCCCCTACCTACCTCGACCCCCCCGCCCCCGTTTACATTGTTAACACCTTATCTTATAGGCGTTAAAATGATCTAAAACGCTCTTCCAGAGTCACCCCCTTACCCCTCGGTTACCAATATTGTAAAACTTTATAGGCGTTTAAATGATCTAAAACACTCTTCCAGGGTTATCCCCTTGGTTACTAATATTGTTAGCACCTTATAGGCTTTAACATGATCTAAAACACTCTTCCGGCGTTTAAATGATCTAAAACACTCTTCCAGGGTTATCCCCTTGGTTACTAATATTGTTAGCACCTTATAGGCTTTAACATGATCTAAAACACTCTTCCGGAGATATCCCCTTGGTTACCACTATTGCTAACACCTTAAAGGCTTCTAAAACACTCTTCCAGGGTTATCCCCTTGGTTACCAATATTGTTAACACCTTATAGACTTAAAATGATCTAAAACACTCTTACAGAGTATCCCCTTGGTTACCAATGGGGAGTTGGATGGCTGAATGGTTAGCGTGCGCGCGCTGTATCATAAAGTCTGTCATTGAGTCGACTGGCGCGGTTTCGAATCCCCGGTTGTGCGTGGCAAGGAGTAGGGTCGCCTGTCCAACCTCGTGGTTTTTCTCTGGGTCCTCCGGTTTCCTCCCACTGCTAAAGACCCCTACGCGCAAGCGAATTATGTAAATAAAATTAAAACCATATGTTAGTCCCGAAATGACCTAGTTTGTGTCGAGTGGACGTTAAACCCCATTTCTCTCTCTCTCTCTCTCGTTGCCTGACAACACATATTTAGTAAAAACATTTGAGTTGTACTTCAACTGTAAGATCTATCAGGGTCGTGCATTATATATTACTTGAGGCTGTTTAGTTGAAGTGAATAGCTATCGTTCACTGCATTTAATGATGGTACACCTTAATTAGATATAATTAAATATAATTAAATAGCCCGTAGTTAGTTGTTCATATCCAATAACAACCTTTGCACTTATAAATTTAATTAATAATTAATCTTATTTTTAACCTTCAGGGTGCTTCAGCCAAATGGTGGAACCATATGCATTTTCAACATCATGCTAAACCTAATGTGGTAGTTATTGTATTAATATATTATTTTCAAACTAATTGTTATTCAGTGGAACAATATATCTATTTGTCATTAAAGTTGGCATTTTAATTACAGGTAGTACCATTGTTATTCAGTGGAACAATAAAACTATTTGTCATTAAAGTTGTTTATCAGCTTTACACATTTTAATTAATACCATGCTCTCACTGTACTACAATGTTCTGGATTTAAAATTTAAAGTCAACACACGTGGCATGGTATATGTATTATAATCAGGGTACGGTATATGTGTATTATAATCAGGTTACGATATATATGTATTATAATCAGAGTACGGTATCTATGTATTTACAGTTAAATAAAGACCCTGATACTAGACTAGACGCTTTATTTGTTGTTGGTGATGTAATGCCAGTACAGGTAGTTTATATAAATTTTTATAACTGTCGTCTATATAGTATAAAACCGTTGGTGTTATCTGTAGTGTAAGCAGTGGTGGACCTACTTATTTGGGGTCTAGAACCTCCAAGGGGTGTAAAATTGCGCCCAAGGTAACCACTTCTTCAGCCCCCCCCCCCCCCCGCATTTACTAATAGATACCACAAATATATTTACGGAAGAAAAAACAAAATAGATACAGGAACATTTCATACGTCCAATTGAAAAGAAGCTTAATCCTTAAGCCCTTTTGCTACCCTACCGGATATATTACTAGTACCTAGCTAGTTAAAGCACAGCTTGTCCTTAAACATTGATGTTATTTGTAGTAACAGTCCCGTCATATAGATCCGCCTCTGAGTAAACGGGCAGTACTCGACATCTGAAGTATTGGACAACTATAATATTATTCTCGATATTGGAATTCGATATAAGAGTAGGTCTTTTAGTAGGAGCTTCGACTCAAGAAATCCAATCATACGAGGCTCTTTAGATTTTTAAAGGGATTGTTTGTAAGATTATTTAATGTATTTTACAGGTAGCTGAAAAAAAGAAACATAGTTTGCCTTATAATTTGCAACATCATTATTTTCCATTTAGTAAGTAGTGTTATAATAATAAGTAACGTTTATCTATTCTTCGGGGGGGGGGGGCGAATGGTTAGCACGTGTGCGCTGTATCATAAGGCCTGTCATTGAGTCAACTGGCATAGTTTCGAATCCCCGGTTTACGTGACAAAGAAGCGAATTATTGAAATAACAAATTTAACGATATTTTAGTCCCGAAATGACCTAGTTTGTGTCGAGTGGACGTTAAACCCCATTTCTCTCTTTCTCTCATCTATTCTTCACATATAGTAGTAAGCGCAGGACGGCCGCACTACCCCAAACAAAACCCATTAGACAAACCTTCGGACAATGTGGCACACAAATTAACCAGACATAGCAATCAATTAACAACAACCATATATATATCAAATCATGAGTGGGAACCACGGTGGCTCAGTTGGTAAGACGCTAGATCGCTAGCCTGGAGGTCACGGGTTAGATCCCGGCGTTGGCCGAGAAAGTTCATCGGAATTTTTCTGCGTGGTTTCGCCTTGTCAATGGCTAGGGCGGAGAACCTGACAAGGACAGATGTCTAGTCGTTCGGATGGAACGAAACACCTAGGTCCCGTGTACAGATTGGCGTGCAAGAAAAAATTCATTTGCCAGTTGGAATTGATGTAAGAGTAGGCCGTAGCACAGCTAGAGCAAAATTTCCCCCCATAGCACACTGTATGGCACAAGCCAGTATTCATTAGCCTTGTCGGAGCAGAGTAGTAAAACGTTAAACCTATTTCATTTCATTTCATTTCAAATCATGAATGACTCCGGTGGCCAGTCATAAGTGTCTGTAATAATACAGACTTCCCTCGAGATGAAAAAAAAACCTCGCAATAAAACAGAAAATCTAAGCAATGAAATGAAATGAAATGGGGTTTAACGTCCTACTGTTATGTTCCGAACTGGGCTAATGACAGCGGCACTACGGCCTACTCTTATACCGAATTCCAACTGTCAAGGGATCTTTTACGTGCACGCCAATGTGTACACAGGACCTAGGTTTTTCGTCCCAACCGAACGACTAGACAGCTGTCCTTGTCAGGCAATCCGTCCTGCATTACTGACAAGGAGGAACCACGCCTGAAAATCTCGGCCAATGCAGGGGTCGAACACCCGACCTCCAGGCTAGCGAGCCAGCGTCTTACCCACTTAGCCACGTGCAAGTAATGGACTGGGCATTCCATTAGAACGACTGGGTAATCCATTGGAGCGACTGGGTAATCCAATGACTAAACGGTTATGTAGCCCAGGGATTCATAGAATTTATTTTTCTTTCAGTTTTTCCGCCATTGCTGATACCAGTTTTTTTCCTCTACACAGCCACTCGTCATATGTTTTCTAGACGTGAATATTTGGTAACTATGTAAATTCTACTTCGCTATGTATCCAACTCTCCAGACTGTTCTATTCAAAGATTTTCGTAATTCTCTAATGTTTTTTGGGGTTTTTTTTTGCTTTACTCATAAATATAATATCTACTACACCTGTTACCACTTTCATTCGAACACATAACTTGTAAAACTAAACTAAAGCTTTTACCCAGCGATTCTTTTATTAGGTAGTTTATATAGAGCTATTCTAATTTCTAATTACATGTAATTTTATCTAAATAACAACTTTTATTTATATATATTTTATCAAAGTATTATCTTTTTTTTATCTCGTTTTACTATGTAAATGTAATAAATATAGTCTTGCCCTATAATATGTCTTTGTAAAGCGCCAACGGGCACATTTATGTGACAGTTGTGCGCTATTGAATGTGTAATAATAATAACAATCTTAGATAAAATATTTCTCTTTAAAGGTCCGTTCATACTACATCCGTATCCGTATCTGTAAATACGTGCGTGAATACGTACTGGAGTACTTTAGTCATTTTTAGAGAAAGGGTTCAAATAGAATCCGGCACGTATTGCGCACAAAAACAACTGCGTCCGTTAAGCCGGATTGATTGCTCCCGGAGCGTATTTTTGTAAAGTGCGTCCGGCATTTCGGCTAGTGAGCCGAGCTTTAGCCAATCATCGAGTACTCTCCCCTTATTACATCATCTCCCCAAATAGAAACTCATCTCTGACAGACAATTCAGTCTTGAAAGCCGGACGTTTTCGCGTTTTCTATTTGAACGGCAAAACGCGGATACGGATGCGGGTACAGATACGAATGCGGATACGTTTATGGATACGGATGTAGTATGAACCGAGCTTTAAGGTCCGTTCATACTACATCCGTATCCGTATCTGTAAATACGTGCGTGAAAACGTACTGGTATACTTTAGTTACTTTTAGAGAAAGGGTTCAAATAGAATCCGGCACGTATTGCGCACAACAACAAATGCGTCCGTTAAGCCGGATTGATTGCTCCCAGGGCGTATTTTTGTAAAGTGCGTCCGGCATTTCGGCTAGTGAGCCGAGCTTTAGCCAATCAGCGAGTACTTTCCACTTATTACATCATCTCCCCAAACAGAAACGTAATCCATTCCAAGAAAAGCCTGGCCTTGTGTGCTGTGGATTTGTGTTGTCTTGTGAAGAACACAACATGGACAAGACAGAGGAAATATTGTCTGAATTTGTCCGGATGAAAATACAATTCTTGCACCAGGTTGTGGTATTCTCCATATTTCTTTCTTCTTTGTAACAGTTTATGGACCCCTACTCTCTTTTTTCTCTTTCGTCTTTGGGTCCACAAATACAAAAGAAAGACTTCCTCTGTGTCACTGTCAGACTCCATGATTGCAAATGACAATATGTTATCTCTGACAGACAATTCAGCCTTGAAAGCCGGGCGTTTTCGCGTTTTCTATTTGAACGGCAAAATACGGATGCGGATACGTTTATGGATACGGATGTAGTATGAACCGAGCTTTAGTGTTACACAAATTCCGCTTGTCAATACTTAAGCTCGGTTCATACTACATCCGTATTCATAAACATATCCACATCCGTATCCGCACCCGATTCCTATCCGCGTTTTGCCGTTCAAATAGAAAACGCGAAAACATCCGGCTTTCAAGGCTGAATTGTCTGTCAGAGATAACATATTGTCATTTGGAGTCTGACAGTGACACAGAGGAAGTCTTTCTTTTGTATTTGTGGACCCTAAAAATGACTAAAGTATACCAGTAGTATTCACGCACGTATTTACAGATACGGATACGGATGTACGTATGAACGGACCTTAACGCGGGCATGTGTACTGTTTGAAATATCTTTATTTAACGCCCGCTTCCACCGAAGTGATATAACCGACAACAATGCTTGTTCTATAAGATCGATGTTTTAAAATGAGTCATTGGATAAGAGAAACCTGGTTTCATCTATGCACAGATGTGAAATATAAGAGTATAAAATATGAACATATATTTCAGGATCTGCTCTTCGCTGTATGTTATTGGATTAAGTTTATCTATCTATTTGGTTCAGTACTGGGATTGGGAACAGCTCTTGTCTTTCATTTTGTTATGAAGTAAGTATAAATTTAGCATAGTAGTATAAAGGGCACCTTCGTTCACTCCTAATCCACAACAGTTATCTACCCTTGGTAGTAGCCAGACTATAACTATTGTATTTAAGATTTAGATAAATAACTGACCTTTCTTGTTATAATAGCTCAAAAATAGATAATTTAAAATGACAAATATATTGAAAATTTCATTCAAATTACTTTATTCTGAGCGAAGTTATCACTGTTTGGAGTTTTGACAAGATGTGGCATAGATTGTTTATTATCGCAGCAACGTTACTTGTTAATCGAGACTCTGCCTCGCTTCGTTACTTTTAAATTAAATCATTAAGTTGCGATCGTATTTTAATCCGTTGAAATCTCCGACATCCGATGGTCAAGAGAGATGATTATAGACTAGACATGTGAATAAATGTCTAAATAATAATTTATATAACATGTGAGGGCAAAAGAAAAAACAGCAATAGGCAGATTTAGCTATTACATATTGCCTGTTAATATATGACCGAGATTAAACATAAAGTCAACAGTTTCCTAACAACCCCCTTTAGAATGTGCGGGGGGGGGGTTCTTAAAGGTAAAGTGGGGTGTTAAAAAGGGAG